TTCATGGCGGCTGAAGACAGCAAAAGCAGCAAGAGCAAAAGGGAGGAGTGGCAGCAAGCAGCCTCTTTCTCTCCCTTACATATGTAAACTATCCGCCCAGGGCAGGTGTAGCTCTCACACCCATAATCCCAGCATTGGCTCATGGATCAGTCATAAACTCTAGAAGCCCGCCCCATGACTGCATGAGGCTTTGGGGGGACATGCAGACACAAACTGTAACAAACACTAATGTGATGCTTGACCTCACAGGATGTGGTTGTTCATTCATGGCACTGTATTATAGTTACTCCACAGTCATTCCTGAAGATGGGCACTCGATAAAGTGTGTGCAGGAGCACAAATGAAAATGAGGCCCCTGGGAAGCACCTTGATGACTGATGTATCAAACCCTCAAAGGGGGACTACACTCAGGAAGGGATTCAGTGTGTCCTGGGTGATCACAATGTTCTATTTCACAACCTAGGTGGCAGATACATGGTCTTTCACCATTAAATTCCATGCACTCTTTATGTTGTATTTCACAATTTTAAAACTATTTTTTAAATGTGCATAGTTACTCATTTAAAATAGTTCTTCTAAATTTTTTAAAGAAGTGTGAGCAATGGTTTTAGAGCATGTATTATAATAGCAAAATTTGAAAACAAAACCCAACAGTGAAGATTTGGTTCAGTAAAGCAGGAGTCCAGGTGTAATGGCCTACACCTGTAATCCCAGCACTCGGGAGGCTGAGGCAGTAGGATCACAAGTTCAGGCCCAGGCTGGACAATTTAGTGACTTACCAAGTTCCTGTCTCAAAATAAAAAGTGCTGGAGATGTAGTTCAGTGTGAAGGCCCTGGGTTCAATCCCCAGTGTGGGAAGAAAGAAAGAGAGAAAAGAGAGAGAACAAGAGAGAGAGAGAAAGAAAGGGAGGGAGGAAGAAAAGGAAGGAAGGAAAGAAAGAAGAGGGTGTATAACACATTCACACAATGGAATACTATAAAATTTTTTTTAACTATATGTAGATGAATCTAAACTGAGAAGTTACTCACAACATAAGAGAACAAAAACAAATCGCCAAAACTGTGGTGCCATAAGCAGCTCTAAATTATTGTAGAAAATACCTGAGATAATCAACTTTTAAAAAGGAAGGGTTTATTTTGGCTCAAGAGTTTGGAAGTTTGCAGCCACCACTGACTAGCTCCATTGCTTGGGCCTGAGGCCTGCAGTGGACAAACCCCTTGGCCTTCCGCCTGGGGCGCAAAAAAACCCTCCTCCCTCCAAGGCCACGCCCCCAGTGACCTCATCCTCCTGCTAGCCTCTCCTCTTAAAGACCCACCACCTCCCTATAGCAGTGAGCTGAGGTCCAATCCCAGGACTCAGAAGATAGCACTCATTCGGTAAAATCCCTCATTACTTGACAAAAATTACCCACATATAAGGAAGATTTCTGGAACTATATTAACCAAAGTATTAACAGTGAACTTGGCATTTTTATCTATAGTTCCTATTTTTCCTAAATGAAGTTGTTTTATCATTTTGATAAGGGAAAAAAGCTATTTAAAAAATTTTAAAGCTCAGCTGGGCATGGCAGCACACTCCTATAATGCTAGCACTCAGGAGGCTGAGGCAGGAGGATCGTTGTAGTTCGAGGCCAGCCTGGGCTACATAGTGAGTTCTGGGTCAACCTGAACTATATAGTGAAACCCTGTCTCAAAGAACAAAACACAAAAGATTTTAAAGCTCATTTATTTTTTCACTCAGCATCAAGTCGTGGCATTACTTCTGAGTTCTCTCTCGTGCTTGTTTTTTTTTTTGTTTTTTGTTTTGCCACAGGATCTCACTATGTAGGTCAGGCTGGGCTTTAACTTGCTATGTAGCCCAGGCTAGCCTCGAACTTATGATCCTCCTGCCTTCGCCTCCTAGGTGCTGGGGTTACAGGCATGTGCCACCACGCCCAGCTCATTTTTATTTTTAAAATAAAATATATATTTATAACAAGAACAATCTGTTTTCTTCATAGCCCTTACATTTTGAAATATCAATGTATTTTTAATGACAATTTCAGTGGAGCTGAGACATTTTCAAGGTTTAAGTTTTACTTTCAAGTGTTCATCTCCGTATAGAATTCTTTCCTTAGCTAAATCAGTACTTTTAAAAAGGAACCTAACTTTATGCTTTAAAAAAAACTATAATTTTTAAAACAAATTAGTCAAGATCGAGTGGTATTTTTCTTATATTCGTTTTAAAATGTTCGTTATTCACAAATTCTTCCATCTTTTAGACGGAGGCCAAATTTGCAACCCATGTCTTATATTAACCTGTTACACCAGACCTTCTATAGTGCGCATGCTCAGGAGGAAATGCGCGCGCAGGAAACAGGAAGCCGACCAAGAGCGCGTGCTGCAGTTTGCCACTTGGCCGCCGGGTGGCGCAACTGCTCCGTGCCGCACACGGTCCCTGATGGAAGCCCCGGGCAAGGACCTAAAGAGCAAATCCTCGCTGTGCTGCGCTCCCTGGCTGGGTAGGGATGCAGCCTGTGCACGCCGGACATTTTATTTAGAAATGGTTCTGCCCACGTCTGCAACATTTTTTTGCGTCCTCTTGACAGCTGTGGATTGGATTCGCCGAAGAGAGGAAGGGAACCTTTGTTGATTTCTTACCCTCCCATAAAGTCCTACTCCAAATTTTTAATCCGGAACAACTTTTCTTTGTGACCTGTTGGCTATTTTCATAGCTACCATTTTCAAATTGTAGGACTTACTTCACTGAAGTCAAGAATAGTTACCACTAGACAGGAAGATAGCATGCTCTCTTTTTGGAAAAGTAGAAAGTTACATTGCTTCCAGCAAGGAATGTTGTCTAGCCTGGAGTGGTGGCCTACTCCTGTAATTCCAGCGCTCAAGGCTGAGGCAGGAGAATCCCTGTGAGTTTGAGGCCAGCCTGGGCCACATAGTGATTTCAAGCCCAGGCTAAACTACATAATGAGACTTTGTCACTAATCTTTTTATTTTTATTCGTGACAGAGCTGGCCTCAAATTTGTAGTGTCTCTCCTGCCTCAGCCTCTGGAGTACTGGGATTACAGGCCTGCACCACTATACCCGGCTGGGTGAGAGGTCTGCTAAACTAGTTCTCCTCCAGACTAGAGGTCAACCTTGGAACTGACCATAATTTAGAAACTTAGCTTCAATATATATTTCTAGATGCCACTAAATTTGCAGTTGGTTGGAATAAGTGTTACTCCATCGTGCCTTCATTTACTTTGATTTTTGTACTCCAAACCCATTACTTTCTTCTACATTCTTGTTCTCTTTTGCAATCTCCCATCCCTGTGGGGGTTTTTTGTTTGTTTGTTTGTTTGTTTGTTTTTAATCTTTTCTTTGCTGCCCTCTTTCTTTGACTAGGTTGAGTAGATAATTTTTGAATGAAAGTCACTGTTTATTTGTTGCTGTTTTTTTAAATATTCTCTGTTTGCCCTGGGTCATTCCATTGCAGAAAAGGAATTCTAAAAATTACCTAAGTGTCCCAGAGCTTGAAGGACCCCTACATATGAATACAATTGGATACCTGAGCTAGTGTTCACTCTAATTGAATGTTGGCAATAGAATTGATTACTTATCTGCTCCGGGAACTGATGAGTGGTGGAACCAGATGAAAAGAATTTGAATCTAAATAGCAGTGAAATTAGAGCAAAAGCATAGTTTTAAGTCTACAAACTATAAATAGAGTAAGGAAACCCAGAATTGGGTGGTGATGACAGAACTCAGAGTGAGAAACTAGAATTTAAATGTCAAATTCACCTTCTCAGGAAGAGCCGTAGTCACACGCTAGGGAATGCAGGGTTTTAAATATATTTACAGAGAGGAGAGGAAGAAGTGACTCAGGATCTTGGATACTGGGTTTGGGAATAAATGAATACCATGCAGTTCAGGGAGTTTTCTGTAGATGGGGAGAGATGAGAGAACGGGTGAATCTCAGCTACCATCCTGCCCACCAGGATAAACCCACAGAGCCCTGGAAGCTAGCGTGTGTCATCCAGCCTTAGGGCGGATCAGATTCCCTTTCTGGCTATTACTCATGTCAACAGTGCTATCTCTGGTCAAAAACAAGCTATTTCCAGCCTGGGACCCCAAAAGGAGAGGCACACCCACTCCGGAGGCTTCCTCTTTTCAAAAGCTTCTGAGCTCAGACTTAAGTATCTTTTGTTTTTGTTTTTTGTTTTTTTGAGTGAGATTCTTTGCAGTGATTGGCCTTCAAGGGACATCAGTTTGCACGTGGGTTCTGTAATCCTTGAATGGGGCTAAGTTTATAATAGTCTCCATCCTTCAATATAAGTATGTTAATACATATTTGGACCAAAAATGTATTAAAGTGTTCCTAATCTATTTTTGCAAACATTCAGTTCCCTCCTGTTGCAATTTGATCTCATTTCTTTCTTTCTTTTTATTTTAATCATGAAGTGCTCCCAGAATACCAGAAAAGCGGAAGGAATAACACAATGACCTTCCTCCGGCTACTGGTTATCCAGCCAGGCCAAGTCAATATTTTCCATTATTTTCCAGAGCTCTTCACTTAGGCTATTTTTAAAACTTTGAAAATAGTTTAGGCTCAGGTGAAATCGCTTGTGTCTTCTCACCCAGCCTCTCTCCAGCTCCTCCTCTAGAAATCCCACTGCATGAACTTGGTGTTTATTTCCACAAGTGTGAATTATAGGGTGTGACGACCACATCTCTGTGTGTCCCTAAGCAAAACGTAGGCTGTGAAGGCTTTCACATGGGATGAGAAGCGAGGAACAGGGCTTAAACCCAAACGCTCCTGCATGCTGGGTGCAGCCCCTACCGTGGAGGGACTTTCCCACCTACCCTGTCAACTTCTTTTTTCTTTCCTTATTTGGTATCAGGAACCAAACTCACAACCTCTTGCTTGATAGGCAGGTGTTGCGCCTCTGAGCTATAGGCCCAGCCTTTTCAACTTCTCACAAAAATAGCACCCTACTCTACATGCCATCCTTCAATCCACTTCTTTTTCTTAAATCTTTATTTTCAAAATTAATTCATTTTACCACATTCATTAGTAATTTTCATCTGTCTTCATTTAGACCTGCAGCTTGGTTTTCCCATATTTTGCTTATTCACTGGACAGTTTGACCACCTACAAAAAAAAAAAAAAATTACCATCTGGTGGAGAAAATGAAGAATTGCAGACAATTTTTTGGAGACAGCTATGCATTCATCCCATCTGTTTACCATGAAGAAACTGATTAAGAAAAACAGCATATATTTCGATTCTATTATGTTGTTGCTGTTGCCGTTCTTGTTATTTGGTGGGTTGGATTTTTTTGAGAAAGGGTCTTGCTATACAGCCCAGGCTGGCCTTGAACTCAAGATCCTCCTGCTTCATCCTCCTTAGTGCTGGGATTACAGGTGTGCAGTGATTATACACTGATTATATAATTTTTAAAGATGATATGAGCTACTTAAGTAATTCTCCCAAAGTTTATTTTCCATGTTATGAAGAACAATGAATTATTGCTAAGCTGCTATAAGGCTATAAGGCAGAAGAGAGTGCATACTAGGATTTAGCAGTCCTATAGTCTCATCCTGCTTCTGCTATCCTTGGCAATTTATTTAATTTAACTGATCTCTCAGTTTTCTCCTCTGTAAAATTAATCGATTTGGACTAGACACTTTGGTAATAGTTTTCAATGATCTATGAAAAAAATAAAAATTATGAAGGCTGAAATTTTAAGTCATATTTGTAGGCAAAATTTCATATTCTATGTGAAGTAAATTATTATTATTAATTATCATTATTATACATTAATAAGATGTGTTAGTCAGCTTTGTATCACTGTAACCAAATACCTGACATACACCGGTGTTAAGGGGGAAAGCCTTATTCTGTCACATGGTTTCAGAGGATTCAGTCCATGGTTGGCCGGCTCCATTGTTTTTAGCCTGTGCCAAGACAGAAACATCACAGCTAAAGGAAAGCTTCTTAGCTTATGGCACAGAGAAAGGGAAAGAGCTAGAGGGGAAGGGACCAGGGACAAAATACAGTCCCCAAGATCTTACCCCAAGACCCACTCCTTCAGTTATGTCCCTCCTAAGTTTCCATTACCTCCCAACCATAGACCAGACTGTGGTTGCACTGACACATGCAGCCACTACTGAAGTTAGAGCCTGTCTTAGTTATTTCCTCATTGCTGGGACAAAGGACCCAACACCCACAAGCTAAAGGAGGAGAGTTTATTTTGGCTCACAGTTTGTAGAGGTTTCAGTCCATAGTCTGCATGGCTGAGGGGCATGGCAGAGGAGGCTTGTTCATAGCATGGCAGCAGCGAGCAGAGAGAGATCAAGGGAGGAGGAGGGAGACAGGTCCTGCCAGGCGCTGGCCCCAGTGATCCCCTCCCTCTTCAGACCAGGCTTCACCCCTAACATCACAGTTAGCTATAAACACATCAGTGAGCTAATCCACTCATGAATATCAAACCCCGTGATCTAGTCATCTCCCCAAAGCCCTACCTATGAGCACACGAAGGACATCTGGATCTAAACCATAACAGAGCCCATGATCCAGTCACCTCCTCCACCTCCTGAAAGCTCCACCTCTGAACGCTGAGATTTGGGGGACAAGTTAAATTGAAACCATTCACGCAGGGGAAGCACCTGGTGTTTGCCTACTCGTTGTTTAGGATAGAGTGTATTTAACTATTGGAATTATCACGCAGGGTGTAGCTATGGTGTTACCTTCATCACACATTCTGCTCATATCTGTAACCTTTTCAGTTCTGTTTTGTGCGTTTGTTTTTGTTTTTCAGTACAGGGAGTCGAACTCACGACCTCGCGCTTGCCAGGCAGACGCTGTGCCGCTGAGCTAAATCCCCAGCCCCCAGTTCTGAGTCTTTGGCGAGAGCCCCTGCCCTGATTGTGCCATTGCTCTTGTAGGGAAATCAGGCAACGATTTCCACAAGCGCAGAGATTCCCTGGAGGCGAATCACAAGGAGGCTCCTGTGGGCGCACTGCGTGGGAGTCGCCCTTATTATTCGTGGGTCATTTAATAGCACGGACAGGGCTGTGTTAGCAAAGTTATAACCTGTGGAGGGCTTCCTCAGTCCTGTCGGAGGGAAAAGCAGTCATTTTAGAAGATTGTCTCACCATAGACATAAACTGCACTTAGCCTAGAAAATAATGGAGTGCAATTAAAAATAACGTCCCTTACAACAGTGCAAGAGCTGCCACCTCGACCTCTCCTTCCCTCCCACAACTGCCCTAATTGCTGTCCACAACTGCAAAAGCAATGACCAGAACCCTTCCTCAAATTGTCATTTGCCTGGAAGTAAATGTAAAAGTATGACGAGGGATACAGACAATACAGGTGGTAACACTGGGAAAATAAACCTGGGTGATCGCCCAAGAATCTGAGCTCTTCTTCGCCAATACTGTGTGTGAAAAGTATAAATTTATATGAAAAATAGATTATAAACATAAATTTATATGAAAAAAAAGATTTTCCTTTGAACAGCCTCTTCCCCCTTCTTCGTGGAGGGACAAACCGTGAAATTATGATTGCAACGAGAGTTGCTCTAGACTGTTTTATTACAAAAGAAACGTTGTGGGAAGTCACCCTTATCACATGACCTTTCCCACATTGCTTCCCAGCTTTGGCGCTCATAGAAACCACTCCCATCATGTGCTGGGAATGTGGTAAAATTACATTAAAAATCACATGAAAGCTATAGGTTTCCTTTGCTGGTCTAAGTATTAGCCTCCCCTCCCCTCACGGAGTTAATGGGTTATATTTAAGGAACTGGAATATTTCTTCTCTTCTGCTTATTCTTATGAATTCTTCTAGGACATTTACTCATGAACTAGAAGGGGTCGTCACACTAAGGCTCTGCTCTTATTTGTTAGTTTGTTTATTTTTTTTTATTTTGAGACAGGGTCTTCCTAAGTTGCCCACGCTGGGCTCAAATTTGTGATCCTCCTGACTCAGCCTCCCAGAATGCTGGGATCACAGTTGTGCTCCACCATGCCTGGCTCGCAGTCTCTTTCTTATGCATCAAGCCCACGTCTTTCTTTTCGCTCCTGTGCATTCTTACTCCTACTGAGAACTCCACTCTGATTCTCTCACCCCATCTCCTTTCCCACGACTCTTTCCTCACTTCCAGGAGACACGTCTGCTTGGTCTGCAGGTGTTTCTGCCTTCAGCCCTAGGCAGTGTGAGCAGAGGCAACCCTGCCAACCTGTCCAAACACTGCTGCTACTGTGGAGGGTGGATGAGCGGGCGGAAACAGGAGCATCTCTGTGGATCTGAGCCGGGCCGGGAGCCCGCTGAGTCGTCCTGGCTCTGCAAGATTGGTGGCGAGAGGCCACGCAAGGTGAGTGGTGTCGCTATACCTGCGCCTCCCAAGAGCAGGAAAGAAGGGCTGGGGATATAGCTCAGAGGCACAAGTGCCTGCCTGGCAAGCATAAGGTTCCGAGTTCAATTCCCAGTACAGAAAGAAAGAAAGAATGAAAAAAGAAAAAAAGAAAAGGAAAAGGAGGCAACCAGGAGGAAAGGATTCGCCAAGAAAGAGCGCAGAGGAGGAAGCCCAGATTGGGTTCCCTGGGGACCAGCAAAGCGCCTGTCCAAAGGATCAGGGAAGGACAGGACTCATTCAATGAGGACAAATGTCTGCCTGCTGGTTTGGTTTCATCATGCGAGGCCCAGGGAGTGGCAGGAGGTGAGCAGGGATGCTGGAGATCCAGGCTCCAAGGGCAGTGAAAGGTGGGGGCAGAAGATGGCACCCATGATCAGAGGAAGCCGTAAGACTGGTACAGGCGCCGTGCCTGTCTGGGTGCAGGGATGATAGAGAGGGTGGCGCAGGTTTGTCACAGCTGCTGGGCAGGACAGACCTGATTGGCCCGGACCACAGAGAGGCCACCCTGGGCTTTGGCTCAGGAAGGCGGAGGCCAGGAAGATCAAAGAAGAAGGCACCCTGCAGTAAGTCAACGGGACGGGCAGCGTGCAGACAGGATAAGCCAGATGGCCGTGTTGGTGTCCACCTGGGACAGCAATCAGGTGCCCAAATTAAAATGTAAGTCGACATGAGCCAAAGACCGTTTCATCCCACACTTTGCTGTTGGTACAGGATCATTAACTGTACCCACAATGTCCCAAGCTCATTCTGAAGCAGGGTTAAGTAGATCTCTTAATTGTAGTCTGGCTACATTCAGAGCAAAACCACAAACATTTTTTAAAACTAACACATATCTATTTATTTATTTATTTATTTTTCGGTACTGGGAATCGAACTCACGACCTTGCGCTTGCCGGGTAGGTGCTGTGCTGCTGAGCTAAATCCCCAGCCCCAACTAACACACATTTAATAAGACCTAGAGTGTCTTGAAGAGATTTAACTGACAGTGTTGAGATTCATACAACTTTATGTTGAGAATTCTCTCTCCAGGAATAATTTATTTCAATTAGTCACATTTTTATCTTCCTCTAAACTGAAACTTTAGTGTAGATATCGGTGAGGTATGATTTAAAAAAAACTACAGTACCCTGAATTACATTTTTTAAAAATGATTGAATAAAAAAATACATTGCCCTTAAATGCCCTCTGTAATCTCTCCCTCGCTTTGAACATATCCCATCATTATCCCATCATTCTTGCCACTTTCTGAAGCAGTTCTGGAAGCATATGAATACTAACCTAATTATTTTCTTCTCTCAAAAAATTAAAAAGTGAGGGGCTGGGGATTTAGCTCAGCGGCAAAGCGCCTGCCTGGCAAGCGCAAGGTCGTGAGTTCGGTTCCCGATACCGGAGAAAAACAAAAAAAACAAACAAACAAAAAAAAAAATTAAAAAGTGTTATTTGTGTCCACAGTGACGTGTAGAGACTAAAAATTAAACACAAGTTAGTGTTTGGCTAGTGAATGTTTGGCAGGTTCGCAAGTTAGAATTTATCATTGCGGAGTGAAGCCAAGTACTTAGGGAGGTGTCAGCCCATAAAAAAAAGGTAAGACTGTCTGCACTGTAGCTAGAGAGTGCAAATCTTGCGTCCATTCAGATTTTTGCCAACAGATAATTAATGACTTTCCTGAAAGCAGGTGTTTAGAATGAACGTGTGAACACAACTGTAGTTGGTCCGTGTGTCTGTTTACTTCCTTATTATGACTAGCGTGTGTTCAGCTATCTATAAGAGGATCCATAGCCTATCCAACAGTATCACGAATACATAATTTGTACATGCTTTTGTCCAAAGTGTCCATCAATCCATCCTAGCAACCAACCCCGTGTGAGAGTTTTCGTGTCTGAGTTATAACAGCTACCCTGGGAATCTTGTCCGAACAGCAAGCTGACTGCTGTTCACAGTCAGATCTGCTCTTTCCCACCCCCGAACATACACAAAAGATTTTTGTCGTTCTTGGCACCGGGCAATAGCGGCAGTGAGACCTGGCAGCACAGCTCGGAGGCAGAATGTCCCTCCACCTGTTTCGCGCTGTAAGACAGGCTTCCAAGTGCGGGCTGGGTGGGGGCTGCTTCCTTGAAAGGCAGCTGAATGGATCAGCAGGCCCTTGGCAGCGAGGCCCTGGGCGCTGAAGCCGGGCATTCAGGAGAGCTAAATGGAGACTAGAAACTTGAGCAAACCGCTTCCTGGAACATCGAGACCCTGAATGGGAAATTCAGAAGGACCAGATTCGCTCTATTCTTAGACCAGCCAAGGTCAGATTTCCAAGACCCTATTTATTCAAAGCTTTCCTCTAAAAAGTGCTTGGCAATGTAGAAGGACAATAAAAATACTCCCTTTTCTTTCAGAAAATGTTAATTTACTTATTGTTTTGTTATGCTCTTGCTTGAGCTTTTATGTTTTTGCTGTCCCATAATAACAGCTTTTTTCTCCTCTTTTTTTCCTTTTTTTTTTTTTTTTTTTTTTTTGAGACAGGGTCTTGCTATGCAGTTCAGGCTGGCCTTGAGCTCACTTTGTAGCCCAGGCTGGCCTCAAACTTGTGACGATCCTCCTGCCTCAGCCTCCTGAGTGCTGGGACTATAGGTGTGTGCCATCACACTTGGCCATAGTGATAGCTTTGTACCCAAAATCAAGCAGAACTATGATGGAGAGATTCATTTAAAAGAGACAAATAAAAGTGATATCTATGTGTATCAGTTCCCAAGATGAATACAGTTGTTATGTG